GCACTTGAGCTGAACTGTCAAATCCACTCTTACGCTCAGCGTGCCACCCCTAGGTTTGTCTGTAATGGCCTGGTAATTCCCTCTTCCCCCTCATATGCAAACATATGAACAGAATTTAAAGGGAACTTCATAATTTTTTATTTGTTTCTAGATGTAATGTTTCATATCTTGCATGTATTTGCATTCGAGTGGGTGGGATTTCATCTAATATCTAGCTGGACCCTCGGTATGTTCAGAAATGTTTTTTAGGATGTTGACTATAACTAGAGCTTTTAGATGAGCTATCAGAAGTCTCATCTAAGACTAGTGGGGCAAACACTGAAATCATGGCACTATGTGTGAATAACTACTACTCAGATTTAATCCTCTTTGCATTTGGTGAAAGAAGTCACAATTTTTTTAACTGTTTGAGATTTCTGAATATATAAAATATATTCGTAACACCAATTTTGAAATACACCAATCTGAAGTTAAATAATAAAATGTTTTGTTTAAAACACTAAAACATTAAAATTGAGGTTATTATTTTTTTCATTATTTATTTGCTCCAATTGTAAGAATTAATGAATCCTATGTATATACTGTATATATATAGACACACATGTAATCTCTTTTTGCTTAAAATGTCTTTGGAAGAAAAATACTCTCTGAGTCTAATTGATGTTAGAGGATCTGGTCTGAAGGCTTTAACTCACTGAGATTCATTGCAATTTATTTTTGACACCACAGGTACCATGTTTCTCATAGTTCACATGTAATTATGAAGTGCCATCTCAGGAACAACTCTTCCATGTAAATAAAAAACTATGTACATTGCTAATCCTCTCAATATAAATACTATATACAAATCTGTGTCTTTGGATAGGCATTTTACTTGGAGACCTAAGCATCTGTTTTTAATAACTAACTGGTGTTCACCCATCTGTTTAATAATCTAGAATAATGTACTCTTTCTCTTTTCTTCCCAAATACTAATTGATTGGATATCGCTATGTTCGCTGCAAGATTTCTTTTAATACCAACCAGTAATATAGCAAAGGCGTTTTCCCTACTGTTCTGCAGATGTCATACTACCCCATAAAAATGAGTGTGCTTTAGTTTCTAGGGAAACTATCTGCACGTGTCTTTTCTTCAGTATAAATAATGCTGTTTTCCTCTCCCTTTCCTCAGGTGCCTATCCAAGACTCTCACTGAGCTTCAGGTTGAAGAGAAATATTGGATACTTTATTCTTCAAACCTACATGCCCTCCATACTGATTACCATTTTATCATGGGTGTCATTCTGGATCAATTATGATGCATCAGCAGCAAGAGTTGCCCTTGGTACGTGCTAAGAATGAGTGTGTCATTATAATGTCAGACTGAATGTAGTCTTCAGAGTTTGTTAAAGATGGCAACGTGATGTCAGTGTTTTGATATTCCAAAATAATTTACATCAAAATCATGTCATCCAATATTGTCTCGAAAGTTATGTTTTCCCCTGCATGCAAGAACATAGCTACTACTAAATCTCTGACATGAGCTGCTCATATGGGTCCCGGCCTTATTCTCATCAAAGTTAATTTTGTTGTCAGTAGGGTTAGGGAGGGGACCAGCTCCAGAATCATACTTCAGGGGCCTGAGTGTGGGCTTTTAGTCCAGCTCAGTGTGGGAAGACAAGTGTGGCTTCAAGCCTCCTCCTTCAAGTGAGGTCCTAGGTGGTTTAATTGACAGTGGCAAGAACAGACCTCAAGAACCATGTGCCAGTTCAGAGCACAGGGGCACATCAGCTGTGGACCATGACATCCCGCCTAACTCTCAGAATGCATGGTATGCTAAATGCATTTTTATCACAGCTTCAAGTGCCATTTGCCTCATGGCAGCAAAACCATGGATTTGGCACAGGTTGGTGATCCCTGTCCAAGACCTTTTCAAATCAAAATGTCCTTTAGGTAAAGGAAGGTGGCTTCAAAGTATCTCAGGAAATATTTCATCTGTTGCAGAAGCATGCTCAGGAATAGCTATAGACAATGAAGTTTAATTGGATCCATAAATCCTTATGACTACTGCTGCCTCTCATCTCATCACAAATCCCATCTTCAACCCTGTGCTTCCTAGTGGCACATACCTTCCTACTCAAAACTTGACACTAAGCCTATGCTGTATAACTTCCCGCTATACTCTCTTCTCTTCTTAAAACAGCAACATATTCCCTAGTTCCCTTATTTTTCTGATATGTACCAAAGGAAACCATGACTCCATCCCCTGTCCATATGATTCCCCGTCTCTGTACCCCATACCTCCCAAGGTCCTGCATACCAAAGCAGGCTGGGCAGCCACAGTAATACCTTTGTGCGATGTCATATTACATCCTAGCATCTGAACTTGGGTAACTGAAGATATTCTAGATTAACTGCAGTTATTGTACAGTAATTCTATAGATATTATGGATTAGCTGGTGCATATGGGCATAACACAATTTGACTTTACCACTGAGCAGGTAGTGCATGTTCAGCAAGTTCCAAATTAGTAGCTTAATGGGAAGTGGAGCCTAGAGTCCAAACAGCTCTGATGTATTCATAAATGAGCTACTGGATGCCAAAGATCCACCCTGGAGACATTATGACCAAATGAGGGGAGCACTTCAAACACATCATTCAACATCTAGATTTTACATACTGGCCAGGACTGCAGAGGACAAATGGTTAGACAGAAGTTATCAAATCCAGTGACATTCCACACCCTTCTATAATGGGTTCACGCCATTTTTCCTTGTTCAAGGAATAAGACTGTCTCATGTGGCCTATTTCTGTGTAGCACAAGTTCATCAAGTACTCTACTGTGATAGCACAAATATTAGAACAAATGTCAGAGAGTGCATTCAAAGGAAGTTCAGGAGCCCAGATGCTCTATTTCCAATTGGTAGAAAGTACTTTTGAGAGGATGAAAATCCATCTAATAGGTTCTTCTGAGAAAACAATTAGAGCCTTGGTAATTATGTCTTGTATCACCTGATGTTTATATAATGAAGTTCAATACCATGGGTCTAATCCTACGTTCCTTTGTATAGCCACTCTTACGAATCTGAAGCTGATAGGAAATGGTATCAAAGCTTAAAGGCAATATAGCACATTTGGACATATATAACTAGCTCTGAAAAGCTCATTTAAGAGGAGGGTAAGGCCTGCTGGCTTATTTGTTAGAGGAAGAACTCCCTGAGCAATCTTTAGGGACACGGAGGTAAGCTTTTACTCAGCTGCAGGAAGCCTGTGTTCTTGGAAAGAGCCTGATTTTAGTTAATTCATTTCCATGTTTTGCTCCTGTCCCTCCTCTCTCACTGACCACTGCGCTGTCTGTGGTCCAGGCTGCACTGAACCAAGAAGTTCCCTCAGCAGAGGAACCCAGGCATGGGGCAAAAGCCAGCTCAATCCAGAGACTATGTGTCACAGACACTGCAGGTAGAGGCTAATACAGGGCTGATCTCAAGAGAAATATTCAAAACCACCAATTCTGTTCAAAACTGAGATCTTGCTAGTTAGCCCTTAAAAGTTCATGATTGAGTCCTGTGAGTGAGAGGAGAAAAATAATCTCGAGAGTTCTCACTTTTGGGAAGGGCTGTAATCACAAGATTATGCTATTTTTGTGTGATAGGTGAGTGTCAGCTGCTTGTCTTCCAGCTGTGCTTTAAAATAAATTATTGATCTTCAGAAGGGCATTTGTCTGCAGAGTGTCAGCAGAATCTCCCAGGGGACACATTTCCTTTTGGTTGCTGGTAGCCACCTTTCTGTTCAGTGTGCTTAATCTTCTGGATCACCAAGAGAGCCACAAAACTCTCCCTGTGTGGTGTTTAAGGACTTATCTCTGGAATCAAGATTACAGCCTGGGAACAGACACCAAAAACGTGGGCATTATAGCACCCACTGGGCAGACTTCTAAGTCCCTGGTTGACGCAGGCTTTGGGTAAGCCTCAGTAAGATTCCAAGGGTGGGTTAAAAGGAATCTCTGGTATTTCTGATACAAAAATCAATTTGATTCTACGTAACTTTTGGAATCCCTTATGGGAAGCAGCAGCAGGTAATCCTACAAAGAAAGAAGCTAATTCAGGCTAGAGAAATCCCTTGGACTGCAAACATATGATAGTGTTTGCTGCAGTCCTCCAGCTTTCTCGCCCCTATTCCTTGCACTGCCATGGAGGTTTTCTAGAGACTTTGTAAAAGTTTCTTGAGGTAAAAATAATGTCAGCTATACTCCTCATTTTGCTGCAGAGCTGGGTGACTTATACCCGATACAATTTTTAAATAAGCTTGTGCTGTGTCTGTCTCTGCTGTATTTCAAGCCATTAAACATCTGACATCAACACACACTTGTTTCACATTTTAGAGGAAAAGCACTGAAAACCACAGGATGCTGACCTACTGAACATACGAAACATCTGTTAAAGAATCCCATAGGCTACCACTACAGTTCCTTGGAGTGACGCTGTTTACACCAACAGCCTGATTTTGAGTTATATTGTCTTTATTTCTGTCTCTTCAGGTAGAAGAAGCTGTGCTTTATAATATGGCAATGATTTTCTTTCAGTCTTTATATTTGTCCTGCCTGCATTTTAGTGACTACTTAGAAACTGATGGTATAATTATGGAATCAGAGAAAATAGTAATGGAGGGAACCTATTAGAATGGCTTGCCTCTTTTACCAATGTAGACTTACTCCAATAATCAGTGTTTTCAGCCACCTGTATTTGCAATTCTCATAAATTTTACAGTAGAGATACAGCCCCTGCAGTTTATTGTGAATTCAAGCAGACTGACAATAAATTTGCTTTTCTTACCAGCTTTTCAAAACAGTACTCTGTAATATATTTTCAGGTGCTATGTCCATCCTTAGGTAAATAAATGACAGTTTGACATACCTTATAGATTTTTTCTAGGTAGTTTATTAGTGTCCAGTCGATCACTATAAAAATGCTGCTCTCCCTCCTTGGCTTTTTCTTCCCACAAGTGCACAAAGCTCTCTGCCTCTCACATCTCATTACACTTCTTTCTATGTAAAAATTAGACTACTGCTGTAAACTAATAATCTCAAATCCCTCTTCTGTATTGTCCTTTCCTGAAATAGGTGTCTAAAATAGATAGATTGACCTGCTCTAGAAAGGTGCCTGTCTCCATCTGCTACAGGGGAGCCCTGCACGACTAACTTCAACCAGCTGCTTAACTCTTAGAAATGTAAAACTGCATGAGAGGAATCTTTTGCCATCTATACGAACACTCTGCCTTAATATGTGCAAATGGTTTTATGTATCCAGACCCCTACCTAGTTTTGTTACTTTTTAAAAATTTCTTGCCATTGTGCTGAGCAGCAACATGCTGGAAGAGCACACCAAGTCATGCTTGGCAGACTATTTGCCTTCCTGTTGCAGATCAGTTTGGTCTTCATGGAAGAGATTCTCAGTACAGCTACACTGGCTTCCATGAAGCTATGTTAACTCTCGGAGGTGGTGCCAGGCTCCCTTGTTAGCTGATCATATGACCTTGTTCCCCCTGATCATATGAAGGAAATATTGTAACAGAATAACAAGGCATCAAGCTTTAATTTTGCTTTCATTTGTAGTGGTGTCATCTGCGAGATGTCTTTCACAAAGTTTTAAGCTTCTTCACACTTCAACAAGGCAAATTTGCCAAAAAAGAAAATAAAACTGAAGCATAGTATGCTTGGAATTGTAAGATATGTTCTCTTTCTTTCTTTGTGTAGGAATTACAACTGTGCTGACTATGACAACAATCAACACTCATCTGCGAGAGACTCTGCCTAAAATTCCTTATGTTAAAGCCATTGACATGTATCTTATGGGCTGCTTTGTATTTGTCTTCTTGGCCTTACTTGAATACGCCTTTGTCAACTACATTTTCTTTGGAAAAGGCCCTCAAAGGCAGAAGAAACTTGCAGAAAAAACAGCAAAGGCAAACAACGATCGCTCAAAGTTTGAAGGCAACCGGGTAGGATTCTTTATATATATATATATATATACTCTTTCTTTTCTTTTATTACAAAACCTAACTGTATGAAGTAAAACAAAAAAAAAATGCTTGCGTAAAAACATCACCAACCACATCTTACTTTTGTGGACAGACTTTGACATTTTTATATTCAAGAACCTACATAGAAGAATATATGTAGGCATACAGAAATTGATGTGACTATGATTTGTATGACAGGTAGCTGTAAGAAGAAGAAAACAATGGAGAGTGCAGCTAGGTTGAAAATAAAGGCTCAGATTTATAAAGGAATTTATTTGTCTAAATCAAATATAATTTAACTGTGATTTTGTTTAAATACTTACCTAAGGGAATCCAGGATTTGAGCCTACTTTTTCTCACTTCAGTTAGAGCAGACGTGTTTAGAATGGCAGAGAACAGATAAAGGATTAGTTCTGCCATGCTAATTAATTGGCCAGCATAGCTGAACCACTGTGTGTGGCATCATCATCTGCTGCTGTTTAAGACCAGCAGAAAATTATGATTCCTGAGAAACTTTCAGATTGATTTCTGAAGCACAGTAATAGCATGGTCTGTGCTGATTACACTCTGGTCTCTTTTCTTGCCTGGAGTATGACTTCGTCCAGTGAATACCCTTTTTCCCTTTGGAAGAAAAATTCAAGATATTCAACACTATATGATGTTAGCAAGCCGTGTCAGTTTGAATAGAACATCTTTTTTGGCTAAAAATGCTCCCAGTGAGGCTTTTTCATTCAGTTTTGTTGAGTAAGACTGTTCTTCCTATCAGCTATAAATTAGAAGAGTTCACAGTGACAAAACTACTACCTGTTTATTAAATACCAGTATCATAAAAGTAATTTCAAGCTGTATTTTTGATCCTAGTGGTTGCTATCGTAAATGTAATGCCGAAATACACCCTAATTATTGACACTCATATCTGTGAAATAATTTTGAACCAATAAACTAATTTTTGTCCACTATATTATGAAATAAAATTCTCATCACAGTTGGCAGCACTGCTTAGGACTAAGCTAGCAGCAATAATGAATTCCCTTTCTTGGAAAAATAAATAGTTATAATAATAAAAAAAGCAGATAAGATTAAAAAGATTATCACAACTGAAAGCAATGGAGAAGATTTTAGATGCAAGCAGGTAATGCAGATGTATGCATTAAGGTTCAGTTCTGCCAATGGAAACCATCTGGTGAATCTCATCCATTTAAATTATTTACCTAATTCAGTACAAGTCTTGTTAATGGGCCCAATAGGACCCCATGCCTGACTGTTCTTTTATCTTGATATCAATTAGTCAAAAAAAGCGTAAGTACCTTAACTCATGAAAATGAGGAGTTTTCATACCCAGATCATGCCATTTTTATATCCCAGACCTGATCATACCATATATTAACCTTTTTTTTTTCTCACTTTTGACTTATAACCATTTCTTTACAGACTATCCTAAGCAAATTTCATGGACTGTTCTGGCTTTTCTGCTAGTTTAATATCAACCATGCATCAATGAAATTAGGATACAAATTCAGCACACCAGATCTGAAAGAAGAGTGTGTTACTTTGTCCCTTGGAGTCCCAGCTGTGAAAAGGGAACTCTGTATGATTTGTAGAAACACATACACTCAGGCTGACTGTGAATATTTGCTGTTCAAATGACATAGGATAAATAATGAGTTACGGTCCCATTCTGTGTAGAAAGTATTTTGCCTCCAGGCCTCAGCTGGTGAAGTCAACAGAGCTTCATTGCCGTCACTGGATTCAGTGCCTTCAGAGAAGCAGTGCCAGCATACAACAGGAAAAGACAGAAACATTAAGTAGAGCTGATCAGAAGTCTTCCCTTGAAACAAAGCATAGACAGAAAATGCAGATAGATTCAGTGGATGTAGGATGTGAAATCTGAATTTCTTATTTGAGAAACACTGGCAAATGCAAGCAGAGGGAACTGCTCAGAGCAGGTAAGAGGTCCCATTGCTTTCAGGATGAGCAGCCCAGGGAAAATCCATCTAGCAGATCTACTTTGGACAAAGTTTACCAGGGCTTCCAGACAACACAGCCCTGAAGCAGGAAAATGGTTTCCATGGTTCTAGATCATGCCTACTGTGTACCATGCTGTATAGACATTCATGGATGTAGCAGGACAGATGGTCATGCCAGAGTTTTTAACATACTTTCCATGGAAGACAGCAACTGAAAACTCTGCATCCTTGGCTCTTACTTCTTCAGGGGCAGTAAGAGGCATTAACTTCCAACCTCTTCTTTGATGGCTCTGGAAGATCATTGAATCTGATGGAAATAATGACTGCTTGGCAATTGTTTGCTTCTTGCTTTAGAGTTGGGACTCAGGGGCTGGATGTCCTGGGAGAGTCTCACAAACTGGAGGGCATACTGCACAGTAAGGGAGGCTCAGAGCCACAGGTGAAGACTACTGTGCACGAGTTCAATTAAATTAATGCTTTTGTGACTTCGGTGAGGCTTCAGGCTTCAATGGAGTTAATTTCCATTCAGAAAGGGAAGGTATATAATCCTGGGAAATATTTCAAATCTCACATGATTTGGGGCTGAGCAGCATTTTTAAAGAAAGTGAGAATGCCTAAAACCAGGCAGCTCCCTTTGCAGCTATGACCACTACTTGATAACTGCCAAAATGTATGCTGTGCTGGAAAGAAGATTGAAAAGGGTTCAAATATAAAACTGGAAAAAGGCATTATTTTTAGATTGCCTCTAAGACTACCATTTGGGGTTGATTTGTGTTGTTGTTTTGTTTTAGTAATTGAATTTGCTTGTATATGAACTGTATGCATGACCTCTCTGTCATTGATTTAAAGTGCTAGCTCAGTGCGTGTAGTGACAGAACAACTCTGTGCTGTCTCAGGTCCATCCTGAATCAGGAGAGGCTGTGGCACTGTGGAAATCACTGGTTTGTGTTGGGAGGCAGCACTAGCAGAGCAGAGGAAGCACAACATATTGTCTGCCATTCGGCTCCTGAGTTTCAGTGTTGCTCTTATAGTACCTCAGTCTGGGAGTGCTGCTGAGGCAGTGTTTATCTCTCAGGCAAAGGGGACAAGAAAAGGATGAGTGGAAATGCCACATTATTGTCACTCAGGAGCATTTTAGCCCATGGAAACCAGTAGAGCCAGCATGGACACTGGTATTGTAGTTAATTTTTTACATGTCAGAGGACTGAAGTCTGGAGTGCAAGCTAGCAGGCTTGGTTATAAACACCCTTCTAACACAGTAGCATGCTTTCCTACTCTTATTTGATTGTAGAGCAGGAGAATTTTAATAACAAAAATGTTCTAGGCCACAAAACCCACAGATGTGGGTACATTTGTGTTTTATTTAAGAATTGCTTTGCAAAGCAGACACTGCTCATGCTCAGTAACTCTGCTTCCAAATGTATGTATTTGCATTGTCCTGCATCAGAGGTTATGGGTTTGAAAAGCCAGGACTGGCACAGCCATCTCCATGTTGATGCTGCTGCTATGGATGTGCCTCTCCAGAACCAAGCTTTTAGGCACTTCTCTCCAAGTTATTCCTGATACATTACACTGAGGCTTGCTGTGTTGAGGAGGGCTCCACCAGCTGCTGCCACTGAGCTGCTTGTTGGTTTCACTGCTCCTGTTATGGCTTTCTGTCTATCTCTGCCTGTGTTTTAAAGCCAATGAGACCAATAGCTCCAGGCATAAGGGAAAGAAGAGCCCTTGCAGCATGGACACAGCACATCCAGTGTCCTCACATTGCAGAGGTGACAAAGAAAAGCAGTGGGGAGAGGAAAACTCTGCCCTGTATTCTGCCATGTAGCGTGGCTCAAGGTGGCATGGTGACTGAGGCATATCTGACTAAACTGAATCTCTGGAAATGGTTTCAGAAGATTCAGAACTAGTGATGAGATGAAACCTGAGTGAGCCTTTATGAATTACTCATCTGTGGATCAGCAGCCGACTATGAAGAAAATTTCACACTTAGCCGTCTCTTCTTTTGACTGCTTTTGCATCACATTTCAAATAATGCACTGTAAATAGTAGTCCTCACTGAACTTTTCCAGTCTATCCCAGTAAACTGTAGTTGCTCGAGACAAACAGAGGATACTCCTTTTCTGTTTATAACCAATTTTCGTACATGTACCAGTTGTGGATTGAAAACTCTCTTTTGAAAACCTTGCTACACTGCTTTCTATATAAGGACACATTCATAAAATATTTCTTCTGCCTATGGGATCAGTGCCTAAATTAAAGTCCTCTGTTCATGGAAAAACTGTCAGAAAAGAATAGGTGGCCTGTAAAAATGTTTTCCCTTGAAAATTGATTACTGTTGTTCCAGATCAATTCTGTTTCTCCTGTTTGCGTTGGCAGACTCAGGCTTCATTTGTAGCTCTCTGTGCACTTTCAGTTTTGCTACATAAATTGTTTCTTTTAAATAAGGCTCAGATACAGCCTAATTTACAACTAAATCAGCATGAGAGAGCTCTAAGGCAATCCTGTTCTCACTTGTTTCTCACTCATGTGATAGAGGCTACTGGCATAATCAGCTAGTGAGCATGTGTTTTGGACATTGCTCCTTCTGGTCCAATCCACAGAGGTTATGATTTGTTACAGTCCCCCACTAAAAATATTGCTTCTTAGTTCAAGCTGTGGCAATTTGTGTTTTCAGTTTGGTGAGACCAAAAGTTCAGCCCCGGGGTATCAATCAGGAGGGTAGCTATCACACAAACTCACTCAAGCTTCAGCCCCCCGTGGCTGTCAGACATGCTGGAAGAGCTTCCTTTGAACAAAAATAATGCATAACCCGTTATAAAAAGGCCATTCTCGTCAGGCAGTCTCTGCATGCTTTTTAGCTCTGGAGATTCCTGGCTCAAACCCCCGCTGTCGGCCAAGGCAGCAGCTTCCCACCAGGCATTGCTGAGAACAGAGGCTCAGGCCACTTACATCTACTTAGCGCTTTAAAAGAATTGCTAATTGTAGCAACTCTTCTCACAAGTGGGATTTTAT